GAAGGGGAGGAAGGGGAGAGGAAGGAAAATTACTGGCCTGGCCCCAGGCTAAGAAGTCACTTGGTGGCTCCTGCCTTTCCCACCTATACATAGGTCAGTCTCTATCCTTCCATCCCACAGCCCCTCAAGGCTCCTCTCTTTTTCTCTAGCAACCATAGAGGAGGCCCTCGGGTAATGTCTGGTGACAAATGAATTAGAAAATGTCTCTACACCCTCTATGGGCTTGTCCAAGCCCTTTTTGATCACCTGTCAAGAGGAGACCAGATTAGAGGTTTCTCTAGTTCAAGAATTGGAACCTCCTTGGGCCAGGATCCCTTCAGTGCCAACAGCCTTGCCAGACTTAGTATTTTGGGGTACCTGGAAAGCTCCCTCCCATGACAGTTACAAGCCAAAAGAGGAAAGAGAGGGCAATGAAGGAGGGTTGGCCAGTCCCTGAGGGCAGTCTGTTGCCAGCGCTGTCCCTCACTCATCACGCTTCTTGGGTCTACCACCTCTGGCCTGCTATCTAGAAGCTCAGGTGGCAAACTAGCATCTCAATCAACCACTAACCCACTGAATTAACATCCAGGAGAGAGGAGGGTAGAGGTGGTCAAACCTCCTTATGTGTACACTGGCCAGTTGGAACTCAAGTAGCCTGTCCTAGCCTCACTCTCCACCCTGCCTGCTGCTGCTGGGAGCTGTGTGGTTGGTGCCCAGTAGACCTCCTTAAGCTCTCCTCTCAACTTCCTGAGACCCTGAAAGCTGTTCCTACCACTGTGGCTAGTGACCATTTAGCTAGCATTTAGTAAGTGCTCCCAAACTGAAATTCTTGAAGGCAATGTTGGGATTTCCTTTTCTGTTACAAGACCAAGCACCCCAGAGGAAGCTGAGAAAGCACCCTTAAAGGATCCCACAGGACAAAGAGGATGGTTCTCTCTTCTGGAGGATGCTTATCTGGAGCTAGGAGGAAGAGTCTGATTTCTCCTCCAGCCTCTACTCTACCCTCTCACACTCCCAGAATGCTGGAGTTGGAAGGGCCCCCTACCAGGTTCTGAGAGCCACCAAAGGTAAGGAGAACTCAGGAGCTTCACTAGCTTTCAGCTGGGAACCAGAAGACAGCACCTGTCCTGCCCCACCCTGATCCACAGAAACCCTGGGGGGGGGGGCTCTCCTGATTCACTTTCCTTTTTTCCTTCTCCCCCAGCAGCCCACCCCTATTGGGGATTTGGCAGAAGGCAAAGCCTTTCCTCCAGCCCCCACCCCACCCCAACTGGCAGCTTCTAGCTTGCTGCCTTTGCCCAGACATGGCAGAGGGGCACCGGCAGCTTGGAGATGGAGTTGATTTTCCCTTTGGCACTGCAGGAGTTAGGGGGTGGCCCCCACTAGGTGAGGGGAGAGGGCAGAAAGGCAAGTCCAGACATGGGGCTAAGGAAGAATCTGATTTTCTTAAAATGTGGGGTCACTACATTAAAAATCAAAGCGGGGAAGCCCCAGGAGCCAAGTATGAACAACCCTGTTGTCCTGCTCCCCTCTGGTCTGTATCTGCTAGGAAGAACTGCCCATGGCTCTTGCAAGTCAGTGCCCTGGAGATGCCTTGCTGTGGCTGGGTGGAGTAACCTGTAGAACTCTCTCCCCAGCTTCATGAAAGGCTACTGCTCTTGATCCAGTGCCTTCCCCTTCTCTTCCCAACCACAGCTCTCCCCATTCTCACTCCAACCCATTCGCCTCTCGGTGACTCCTCTCCCCTTTCCCAGGTCCCTTCTCCTTTATCCCTCCTTTTCTCTCCCCCTCAGCCCTCCTTTCTTCACTTTCTCAACCCTCTTCCTTCTCTCTTCACTGAGGCTGCTTTCCCCCTGACTCAGCAAGGTGCTTTATAAGGTGCTGAGGGGGCTCAGCCAAATCCAAACCACATTGTCTGCAAAGCCTTTCCACCAGGGGCGAGCTATGGAGCTGCACAGCCCAAGCTGGGCTTTCAAGCTGCTCCCCTTCCTTCCTTGCCCCCTCCCTCAGAAGAGGTAGTGGATGCTAGGGGGAACCTCCTGGGCCACTCTGGGTCAGTTACTATGGGTATCTGCCTTCTTGACCTTGGCATGAACATCAAGAGATGGTTAGGCTCATTGGGCCAAGAATGTCATTGAAACTCCAGAGCCCTGGCTGGTGGGGGGTGGGGAGGAGGTGGGGGAGGGAGGCCTGAGCACTTTTCATAAGGGCCCCTCCAAGGCACTTTTCATCAGAGCAGCTACTGATGCTCTGGAGTCCCCTGCCCCCACCCCAGACCAGCTCTCCATTCTTAGCTTTTTCTTCTTGTTCAGGAAAAAAAAAAGAGGGGGGTGAGGGAGAGAGAAAGGAAAGGAGAGAGGGAAAAAAATAGAAAGAAACAACCCAACAACAAAGTCTGTCCCACTCCAGTGAGGTAATTGAAAACAAACTTCTTCCCCACCCCCCCACCCCCCCACCTCAGTTCTCCAGTGCAGCAAAGGGAAACGCTGCCCTGGGAAACCAGCACTGGCCATGACTGATGCCTACTCTGACCCACAGGCCAGCCAGGGGGGCTATTCTAGACTGGCAGAGTGCCCTCCTTCCCAGGGGCACCAGCAGAAGTGGGGGTGAAGGTCTCATGCCACTCCAGAGACAGGCATCACCTTCTAGGTCTGGCTGCCATCCGTATCTGTCCCTGTTGAGACTACAGATAAACAACACAGCAACTTATTATCAAATGACTTAATTGGTGGTATGCTTCAACAAGCACCCAAAACTTGGGGACCAAATGACTGTACCCCAAGAAAAATCACAAAGTAGGGCTGTCTCCAAGCCCCAGATGACAGCTGTTTCCTCTGCACTAGCTCTCTTGCTCACTCACTCTCCCTGGCAGCCCTTTGGAGAGGGAGGAAGGGGGAGGAAGGGAGACCCTCTTGGGAGGGTCTAGGCTTATGGGTCCCCTAGGTCTCCCACTCAGCAAGTCCCAACCCAGGCCTGAGGGGAAGGAGGGAGAGTGTTCATTGCCAAACCACCCCTACCTCACCACCGGAAAAACCAACAACCCAAAACCCCAAAGGGAAGAGGATGCCAAATGTCTCGATGGGGAAGCATTTCACAAACGGGATGCTGGGTCTGGTCTGTTCATGGCCTTGAATCTGCGCGTTCCCGCTGAGTCACCCGTGAAGCCTCTGGTGTTGAAACTGGTCCGGTGCCTTGTGCTGATTAATGAATTACAAATCCCCCACCCATGTGCACTCTCCCTGGTCACTGGGAAGAATGAAAACCCTTGTGAACTTGAGGGAGAAGCAGGGCCCTGGTGCCCTCTCTCCTCCTCAGGGGGGCATTATGAGCTGGCCAGTCACCTGCCCCAGCCGCTGGCGCCTCACTTTGCTCTAGCTTTTGGAAATGGAACAAGCACAAGGAGTGGGACAATAGGCAAGGGGGGCGGTCAGCCCAGACAAAGGGCAGCAGGAAAAACACCATCACTTGCTGGGAGGCCAGTTTGCTGGCATTTGAGAGAATGTGTCATTGCATTTACTCAAGTGGGAGGGGGAGGGAAGGTTAGAAATGAAGAAGCAGAGGTAGGGTGGGCACAGGGACCCTAAACCCAGCAGAGACCAGAGAGAAGGAGGCCAGTATGCCCTGGCCACACCAAGGAAGAAGCCCACACCAAGGCCAGCTCCCTCTCCAAGTTCTCAAGAGTTTGCAGAGAGACGATGCCCTCCCTGCCCCCTCCCCCAGGAGGCCTAGGGTGGTACCGTCGCAGCCTTGCCTCACCTCACCCCCCCTCAGTGTTGTGGGAGGGAGAGGAGCCCCAGAAGCCCTCCCTTCCCTCCTCCCCCCTCTCCCCCCCACCCCGGGGAGGTCTGCTACAATTTGTGGTTACAGCTTTACACGTCAGAAAAAAAAAAGTTTGCAGAATGTCCCACACCGAAAAAAAAATGCGAAACCGAGAGAAAAAAACCTGCGAGTGGGCCTGGCGGATGGGATTATTAAAGCTTCGCCGGAGCCGCGGCTCGCCCTCCCACTCCGCCAGCCTCTGGGAGAGGAGCCGCGCCCGGCCGGCCCGGCCCCCAGCCCCATGGACCTCCGAGCAGGTAGGAGCCAGGCGTCCGAGGCCTCGGCCTCCGCCCCCGCCCAGCAGCAGTGAGATCCGGTTCCCGTCCTCCTCTCCACCCCCGGAGCCTCACGCCGGGGCCCGGCCGGGGAGCAGAGCTCGGGCTGGGGAGGTACAGCCGGGCGCCCTCGAGAGGGGCCGGGTGGGGACGCGGCATTCCTGGAGTCCGCTTGGCGGAGCCGGGAGATGGCCGAGAGCGCGGCAGGGAGCCTGGACAACCCTCAGACCTGGACAGGCGGCCACCTGGAGCCACAGCGAGACGGGGTCCCAGAGAACCCGAGGACACAGAGCCCCGCGCCAGAGTCGGGGCGAGCGACTCCGAGGCGGGCAGCGAGGGTGCGGGGGTGGGGTGGGGGGACGGGACGCGGCGGGGGGGAGGAGGGGGCCAGGAGAGGAAGAGAGAGAGAGGGAGACAGGGGGGGGGGGGGGGGCCGCGCAGCGGGGGGGGAGGG